ATATATATATATAGGGTGCAGGGTGTCCGATACGGGTGCGGATCTAGAGGTCGGATCCTTCATGATCTACATTTTAAGATTCGGGGGTATGGATCCAGGTAGGGATACGGGTGTGGCGATTCGGCAAAAAATAATTCAAATACCTAAAAGTAGAGTTATAAAAATGTCTCTAAATTATGAGACATTATGTGATAAACTTACCAGGTATTCCGAGAAGGAGAAAATATTGATCAAGAGAAGAATCCGAGAAGGAGATAAAAGGAAAAGGCTTGACATAAATATTTCTATATACAAGGTATTCCATTTTCTTCAATTTCACCCTACCTTTTGTTTTGATTAAAAAATTATTGTATCTGCCCTGAACTTCTCCGTCGATTTTGGTCAAAGTACCCAAAATCGATTGACTAAATCCAAAAAGGATGCCGCACCCACACCCACGTCGACACGGGTGCGGCACCAAAAGTGAAGAGTCCGAGCAACTTAGTATACTATTCATAGTATCTGAAGATCAAAGAAGTCAACTATTCTAAAAGGATTCAAACCTATGGTTGACACTGAGCTGTACTGGTAGTCACAATCCTCCTGGCTGAGAGAAATTTGCCTAAGAGCAGCATTTCCTCGATCAACAACAAGTAATGAACAAGTTGGCCGAACATATATAACATCAAAATCGCTTGAGAATTGTGCATCCTCACTTGGCCCATCCCTGTATCCTGGAACATTAGACTTTCCTCCAGCAATTGTTGTCACACCTGAAAATGAGAAGGAAGCTCAAGAGACCTTTACTGATACACAAGATATTTCAATCATTTTCCTTTTTGCTTTGTCTACATAAGTAAAGCACAGCAAATCGCCTATGCACTAACTTCATCCTAGTTATTTCTTGATACATAAAAGTAACCCAACGAAAATTAATGTAGAATGTTATATATATATATATATATATATATATATATATATATATATATATATATCTGTCAAAGAAGATCAAAATGAAGGCAAGATGTCATGAATAAATACGCACCTGCTTCTCCAATCTTCCTAATAGCCAAATTAGCAGTATCAGCAACATAAATATTTCCTTTGTCATCCATGGTAACTCCTTTTGGATCTTTAAAACGAGCATCACTTGGCTTCCCGTCCACGTGGCCAGTGTGACCTTGAAACGAACCAGCAACTAATCTTGCTCTACTATCTGCACAACCATTGATTTTAATAAGCAAAAAGCATATACATCAAAAGGAACTGTAGTAATTTAACCAAAGGGCGAGAAGCTTACACTGAGATAACGGGGGAGTAATTCGAACAATTTTGCTATTAAGAGCATCAACAGCAAAGAGTTCACCATCAGGTGAGACACGGATCTTATATGGAACAACACCAAGTTCATTTCCTTCAACAACAGTTTCAACTAAGTAGCCATCTTCAAATTGAAGAACATTCCCATCTGTAACAACACAAAAGACAAAGAAAAATTAAACATCTCCTCCTACTATTACACAATAACATGAACCCAGAAATAAAACTAATTTTCCAACATAAATGCTAGTACTCAATAATGGGGTTTACCTGATTGGGGAGTTTTAGAGGTAGACCTAGACCATTTGAGTAGAGAATTCAAGTGCTTTATCAACGGCCCTAAATTGCAAAAATTAACAAAACAATAGAACCGTACCCATAACATAAACAAATTAGCCCAATTCCAGCATCGGAAGAAAAGAAAAAAGAAACTAAATAAATTAATTACAATCAGAACTGGGTCTTACCAGCAGGGGCAGCAGCATGTACCTGAAATTGAAAATAAGCAATAAAAAGAGCTATTAAAGTGAAAAATAAAAGGGAATTTCTCATGGCTCTTAAAATTCCTAAAGTGGACAGAGATCAGAACAAACGATGAAAGCTTCTTTTTTGCTCTGGTAAATTTATTTATGGATCTCTAAAAAAAAAGTAAAGCTACATGTTGTATGTTACAGCAGAGAATCACATTGATTTTGCTAAGCATAAAAGCTTAAGCTGAGCTCTCAGTACTGTTTGTTCAGTTGTATTGGTAAGTGCAGTACTTTGAGGAAAATATAGCGAGTGAGCCAGACAACTTTTTTTATTTACTTTTTGTTTTTACTTTAATTAGGTTTAGTGGCTTTAAAATTCTACTACTTTTTTTTTTTTTTTTTTTTTTGTGGAGAAAGTTCATTTATCGAGGAATGACGGAAAAAAATTGGTGCGTGTAAAGTTCATTTTTTGAAATTAAAAAGTACTTTTGCTTATGAAAAGAAATAATATTGGATTCTGTATGCTAATTGCACTGCTAGGAATCGTCGTTTCACGCGCCTGACTTTATTGTTGATGAGGCCCAATATTAATATGGACCTCTAAATTAAGGGCCTTCTAGGGAGATTTGCTCAAATATGATCATTTCAGGATGCGATGCAAAGATCACTTTTAGCCCGCAATCAAAATTATTTAATTCATAGTCATAAAAGTGTATAAAACTTATATATTTATTATATATATATATACAAAATATATATTTTTCGATATTATTTTAAGAGCAGCTATACAATGTCATTTTTCCATGTTCGTAATTGTTTAAGTAAGTTTTTACGAGAATAAGTTGACGAGGCATAACTTGGTCAAAGTTATGTCGGGACGAGGAGAACTTCGTCCTGACGTAAATTTCAAAAAATTAGTTCAAAATTTTGCCTGCAAAACATTTATAATCAGAGACAAAATCTAAAGTAGTCCTCCACTGGGCCACTACGTTCTGTAGCATAGGACCAATTTGAGGTCCATTTTATGGATTTAAGATCGGAAATCAGGGCCACTCCGCTCAAAATGAAGTTGGGCTAGACTTATTCTTTGGGCTTAATTTTCTGATCGAAGTTGATACACTGACAAGAACTTGTAGCCTGCTTTCCGGATGTGTAAATGTTATTCAGGAACAACAAATGGATGCTTGGACATTGAAAATCAAATGTGTACAAAGAGTTAAACCATCATAATGGGCGGAGCTATAGTTGGCGAAAGATACTCAATTGAACAATCTTCTGCAAAAAATTATATTTGTATATATGCATCAAATATAACTATATATTAAATCTTGAACAGCCTTAACTGAAATTTTTGATTTCGACACTAGCGATAAGCACATTTATATGTTTGTATTGGTCAAAATCTGACCATTGTGGTCGATCCAACTAGGATCCCGCCTAAGTGGCGGAATAGTGAGAGACATCACGACTTGCTCCAATCCAAGTGCCTACAGTGCACATTATAAGTCAGAAAACAATACTCGAGTAACGACGTAAACGGTCGTAGTATGGAGGCACATCGATGAATATAGCAAGGACTCCAAGACTATATATATATATATATAGAAGGAATCCTCCAAGTAAAAGGGGTCTTTTATCTCTTTCCTCTCTTCTGAAGCTTTCTCGGAAGAAAGGATGCAAATTGATTATCCTCACTATATCATGTAAATTGATCTTCCTCACTGTATCACAAAGGAAAGAAAACAGTTTGACATCAATAAGATTGATCCCCCTTATTTTATCTTGTTCATCACTTTCTGATTCATTTTTAGATCTGGAGTTTATTACATTTGACTAAGATTTACCTCTTCATCTTTATTAATTGATTTGATCAAAAAGGTTTCGACATCTTTTGGTCAAACAATTTGGCGCCGTATGTGGGGATTTCTTAGTCAAAATTCCTAGTCTCCTTCAGATTGAAACCCGGAAATGTAATCATCCACCGAAGAGAGTGGTAAGTAAACTTCACGTGCTAATCCAAAGCATGATGCTGCATAGAGGCAGAAGTTACAACCAATGTCCACGCAAAGCTTGCAAGAAAAGACGACACCAGTTGTGCAAACCCCGCAAGAGAATGGGCACATCTTATGGGATGACCCACGCACTAGACGATCCACGAACGAGCTAAGGCAAACCTACGTAGAGCCAGGGCATGTTTAAAGAAAAAGAGAGGAAGAAAAGAAGGTCGAACGCGGCTGCCGAATCCACAAACCACCATTCCATCAACCACTTAAACGTTAGGCAGAGTGAACAACGCTATAAGGCTACCCTCGTCCATCGACTCATCGGATCGAGGTAATGAAAATCTCATCTTGGTTTACCTTTTGTTTCTCGCTTAAACAGGAACACAAGCGCCGCATGGGCAAGCGAGCAGGGAAGCATTCCAACTAGAGTGGAAGAACTATTACAAAACAACTCGAATATCGCCCATCTCAGACATGTCAACCTCTGGAAAATGACGTCCCCTAAAGTCGTACTCCTTCCTCTCGCCCAGATGTTGTCCCGATTGGGTTCTCTCGGGGAGTTTTCGAACGAGGCAACGAGGGGGCATCACCAAAGTTCAAAGGACAGTCTATCGCCCCCGTCCATCGACGAGCTCTCCAAGCCGAACTACGACGGGTTAAATAGGGAGATCCCAATACACGCATAAAATAAACATTAGCAAGATAGCAGAGTTCAATACTTTTCGGCATCACACTCTCCAATACACGCAAATTAAGCAAACTGAGACTCGCCCAGGAAACACACAAGTTGAGCAAAAAACTGGACTCCCCAGAGGACACCGAAAACTCTCCAAAAAACTGGGACTCACGACGGGTTAACATTGCGACGAAAGCTCGAAATAACACCCTTAAGGCCAAGGGCCGTTGCAAAAAAGAAGAGTTCGACCTCGATCAAATAAACGATGAGTTAACATTTCGACGAAAGCTCGAAATAACACCCTTAAGGCCAAGGGCCATCGCCAAAAATAAGAGTTCGACCTCGATCGAATAAATGACGTGTTAACATTTCGACGAAAGCTCGAAATAACACCCTTAAGGCCAAGGGCCATCACAAAAAAAAAAAAGAGTTCGACCTCGATCGAATAAACGACGGGTTAACATTTTGACGAAAGCTCGAAATGACACCCTTAAGGCCAAGGGCCATCGCCAAAAAGAAGAGTTCGACCTTGATCGAATAAATGATGTATTAACATTTTGACGAAAGCTCGAAATGACACCCTTAAGTCCAAGGGCCATCGCCAAAAGGAAGAATTCGACCTCGATCGAATAAACAACGGGTTAACATTTCGATGAAAGCTCGAAATAACATCCTTAAGTCCAAAGGGCCATCGCCAAAAGGAAGAGTTCGACTTCGATCGAATAAACGATGGGTTAACATTTCGACGGAAGCTCGAAATGACACCCTTAAGGCCGAGGGCCATCGCCAAAGAAAAAAGCGAATTCGCCCGAATCAGCAATAGTTTGGTTCCACCCGAATGACCAAGTCATGATTGGCTCCGTTCAAAGTAACAAAAACGTTATACATCCTTGTTTCAATTCAAGAATGAATCTACTTAGGGTAATAAGCCTTCAGTCGACCTCATATCACTCTCCGTCGTCCTTTCTCGAACTGTGACGGTATAATACTTCGACGTCAGCTCGGGAGTAACATCCCTACGGGTAGGGCTGTCATCAAAGTGCTACTCAGTCCGTTTGAGAATGAATACCCTGAGAATTAGGAATTCACCACACGGAAATCTGAAGTTTTGTGCCAAAGTTATGTAAAGCAAAATAGGGAGAGAAGTACAGAAGGCATACAACGGTGAAAAATCCCTCTTTATTCAAAGCAACTGCGCAAATAGCCAGAGATTACACACGGTTAAAACCGGGCAAGTCCAAAGGAAAATATAACAACATAAAAGACAACGAATAAAAAAAAGAGAACAACACAAACAAAGTTGAACAACTCTTTCACTCGGCGTCATCACCGCCACCTTCCTCATCACCATTTATAGGAAGTCCCTCTTCAGCATTAACATCCTCGTCGGCCTCCTGCGTCGCAGGATCGTATCCATAATTAACACGATCCTCTCGCGCCTTCGCCCGCGCTCCTTCATATGCGGCCTCAGAAACATTGCCCGCTTCCCACAAACTCTTGTATATGTCCCGCTGGGCTTCAGCATGTACCCAAAGCTCGTGCAGGTGACGGGGAACAGCGACGGAGGAAAATTCAATTTGGGCCAACAATTGTGCCTTCTCGACCTCAAGAGCAGCATCCCGGTCCCCCAAAGTCGAAGCTTCCCGGTCAATTTCACCAATACGCTCTTCGAGCCTTGCCTCCCTTAGGGTCGCCATCGCCCTCTCAGATTCCTGCTTGGATTAAAGGACGCGAATAGTGTGCTCTAAAACCGGCGCCCAAACACTCTCGATATTCTCCAACCCGAAAACCTTTCTTTCTAGCTCGGTTAACTTCCTCATCCATTCCGCACTCATCGCCTCGACCCTGACGGCGTTCTGATCCAATTGCATCGACCGCACCCTTGCCTGAAGATGCTCACACTCTGCGGCAACCCCTTTGCCCACTTCAACTTCCTCGTCCTTTACACGAAGTTGCTCCTCGAGCTCGCTACTCCTACGAATTGCCTACACTAGTTCCCGATCCCGCTTCTCCAGCTCCTCGCCGAGGGATTGGTTACCGGTGATCGTCCTCAGCCGCTCGTACAACTCATGACACTTGTTGCGGTAGCGGCGATACTTCTCCAACATTGTCAGGAAAATTTTTGCTTGAGTGTCATCCCTACGAACGCTAACGGTGTCTAACGGGTGGGCCGGGCCGAGTAGACTTTTTTTTTACGGGTTGGGGGTACGGGCCGGTTCCGGTTAATTGTTAACGGGTTTAATGGGTTCGGGTTTATCCGGGTAAAAAGTAACCCGTACGAGTAGGGGTTTAAGGGGCCGGGCCGGGCCGGTTTACATGTATTTTAATTTTTTTTTAAAAAGTTTTTGTGCCTTTAATTGTAATTTATATAAAATATAAAGTAAAATATATAAAGATAACAATGATTATGGAAAAAATTGCACTTATAAATTGCAAGTGCAACATGTATTTTAATTTTTCAAATTTCAAAATTCAACTCTTACAAGTTATAACCAAGTATTAAATTCAAAGGTTTTGCATTGCACTTGTAAGTTCTTCATAATCAATATGAACTGATTGTCCTTCTTCTGGAGTGTTAAATTCAGATGGGTTACCATGTGTTAATAT